ACATCCCGAGCCTGGTCAGTGATATTATTATAATAACATGATAAACCAACGGATAATGGAATAGGAGGAATAGGGAACCAAATGAGATGAGATAAAAAGAGGAATGAAATAGAAATGAGATATGGAAAGGGAAATTGATGTAACGGGGTCGTACTCTCACAACTACTCTGTCTGAGATAGAGACTCGCCAGCGCACCATCGCTCAGTCGAGCGGTGTTGCGACAGTCCCTATCTTTAAGGGCTGTGCCCCCTCCCAGTGCACGTACGCTGACATCTCCGCCGCAGTTGCCACGACTGCGCCTGCACCTGAGACAGCAGTTGCGGCTTACCCGCAGCAGCGCCAGCGCCGGGGCCGCCGTGGCCCCAAGGGAGAACGTGGAGGTGGCGCTAGTGGTGGTGGTGGCGGGGACAGTGGTTCTGACGAGGGGGTTGGTACTGGTGCCCAGGAGCAGCAGCAGCCGTCACAGCAGCAGCAGCAACAGCCTTGGGCTCGTCTCCCGCCCGGGTGGCCAGGAGCCCCTGGCGGTAGTGGTCGTGGTGCTGGCCCTCGTAGCTCGGCGTCCACCTGCAGCTTCGGTGCTGTGAGCTGCCAATACAAGCTTAAGAACAGGCCCCTGCGTGGCACAGTGTGCCGCCGCCCGCACACGACCGCCCACTGCTTCCGCCGCCTCGACGATCTCTTCCGTCGCCGCTTTGGTCCCGCCCCGGACCTCCCTGACTGGCCCAGCCTGCTGCGCCACGGTGCCTGTGTTTGACTTAGACATGGATAAGATTAGTTATGCTTGCATTCTCAGTATGCTGACGCTTCGAGTGTAGAAACCGACAAGCCAGCAAGATGGTGGGTGGACAAACCGACAAACAAACAGCTGAGGAAGGTGTGAGTGTGAGAGGGCACTGCAGGTTGTACTTGGCCGGGAGTTGATGTCTGAGAGGATGGAGATGAAACAGAGAATCTGGGAGTGTGTAAGAAGAGGGAGAGGGCAGGGAAAGTATGAGAGTATGAGGTGTGAAATGAGGAAGGCACAACAAGTGCAGGTTATATGGCAAGAGGCTTAAAGTGTGAGAGGGTGGAGATGAAATGAAACAGACGTCCGGGGGGTGAGAGAGAGGAAAGAGCGAAAGGAGTCGGGGGGTGTAGCAAGAGACAGGGAATGAGAACAGACGTGAGGTAGATGGTTTGGAGGAGAGAGGTAGAGGACTATGGAGAAAGGGAGCGAGGTGACAGGATGCAATGCGAGAGAAGGGATGAAATACGAGAGAAGGGACGCAACGCGAGAGAAAGGACGAAGTTCAATAGAGACGATGGAAGGAGTGCACGAAGGAGGGAAATAGATCAGAAAAACGTGAGGCAGGAGAAACGTACAGGGGGGGGATTCATCCCTCACCAAGTACTGGGGGAGGGCAATAGATAGAGGATGCTGGGAACTGAGGAAGGCACACATGAGGAAGGGGATATTAGAGAAGCGAGGAAGGAAGCTGCCACAAACTATTACACATACTGTTCTTACCAGGGTTATCAGAGTCTGCTCCATAGGGTACAAGTACCAGTATTGCAAACCATGGCTGATGGCTTCATGGGGTATAGGCACCAGCATAGCACGCCATGGCTGATGGCTTCATGGGTTATAGGCACCAGCATAGCACGCCATGGCTGATGGCTTCATGGGGTATAGGCACCAGTGTAGCACGCCATGGCTGATGGCTTCATGGGGTATAGGCACCAGCATAGCACGCCATGGCTGATGGCTTCATGGGGTATAGGCACTAGCATAGCACGCCATGGCTGATGGCTTCATGGGGTATAGGCACCAGCATAGCATGCCATGGCTGATGGCTTCATGGGGTATAGGCACCAGCATTGAACACCATGGCTGACGTGCACGCGAATGCTGTGCCTTCCACCGCTAGCAAACAGCACAATGATCCTCTCTGCGCGTTACTGAGGTCCACTTTGTGCAGTACATGCACCAGCACTGCACACCATGGCTAAAGTGCCCATGCTGTGCCTTCATTACGCTAGGGGTGCCTCTAACCACACACGTACCTAGCCATTAGCACCATGATGGTCTTGTGCGGATAATAGAGATCCACTTTATGGGGTGCATTGCACTCTCAAGAACAGAAGGGCTTTGCAGCCAGAGTCCATACTCACAAAACGAGCCTGGGGAAAGAGGGTAAAAGCGGAGGAAGGGGTTGGGATTAACACAGAAAATCAGCCTTTTCACGAACAGAAGGGCTTTGCACCTAGAGTCCACACTAAAAAAACAAGCCTGGAGGAGGAAGGAGAGCCTGGCATGAGACGGCGAGGCGAGATAGGCAGGCGGAAAGGGAGAACATAAAAAATGGCTTTTAGAATGAACAGAAGAAGAATCGCAGCAGCGCTTGAATGGAAGAGTATCCGCACAGCAGCGCTTTCCACCCAGAAGAATCACCCTGAACCAAATGCGTTGCTGAATGAGAGGAAAGGGAAGGAGGAGGGGAGAGGGGAGGTCGGGGGGGGATGCAAGAAGGGGAGTTGTGGAACCAGGAGCTGGAAAGGAGAGGGTAAGGCATCAATATGCCCTGCAAACATGTTACATGAGTGTGAAACGGTTTTTAAAAGTTTTGAAGCAAAATTTTTACGATCACTAGTCGAAGCGTAAGGGAAGTACGAACAAGGTTGTGAATTTGTTCTAAATTTTATCATGAACAAACTTAACCGTCACTGACCTGTTTTTTTTTACGTTGTCTCTTCACTCGCTTGGAGGGCGTCAATCGTAGAACCTCCTTTCTAAGTTTGATCCAGTTGTTTGTGTGAGAAAAGGGCACCTTATTGTTTGGGCACCTTTTTGTTTGGGCACATTGCTGTATTTCCACAATGCACCGACCTTTCTTTTCAGCATCGCCAGCAGAGCATCGATGGACGAACCCCCATTCTTTGCCTATCCATCTCCCTGCCCCTTGGTGACTAGAAGACTGTCTCACCGCTGCCAGGAAAAACAGCGGAGGAGGGACACAAAACGAGGGCTCCGATAAGCCTTCCCCAGATGGCACCTGCCCCTTGCCCTGCCCCATGCTGGCCAGCAGCTTGTCGCACCACTCACAAGGGCAAAAAGGGGGCAAGGGGGAACAAGAAACAACGGCTCAGGTAAACCATCCCTGCAAACGCCTTTCTCAGTCACCACCTGCCCCTCCCACCCTCCTTTTCGCTGGCTATTAGCTTGTCGCACCAATGTGGGGGCAAGAAAAGGGGAAGGAAGGACAAGAAACAAGCGCTCAGGTAAACCATCACTACAAACACCTTCCCTGGTCACTACCTGCACCCCTTGCCCTCCCCTTTTCCCTTGCTGGCCAGCAGCTAGTTGCACCACTGGTCCACTGTTGGAAGGGGGATAGAAAGGACAGAAATCAAGTGCTCAAATAAGCCTTCCCCAGCCGTTTCCCTGCAGACGACCCTCTCCAGTCGCCCCCAGCCCCTCCTTCTCACCCTGGAAACCTCCTTGCACCTTCCCAGTATGCTAGAACCCTATCCTCTCCTGTCATGCCAGCTTCTTGTTCATGTCCCCTACCTAGCACACAGAAACCCGAAGCCCTTAATGCGGAATGTATAAAATAACCAAACCCTTCAGCGTAATATACTTGTGGAGTCCTAAACCCTAACCCCCACACACATAAACCCTAAGATTTTATTTGGAGGACACATAATAACCATATCCTCAGGCACAATATAAGAGCACACTAATTTCATCACCCATATCTCAGGCTCAATCCTCCTTCCTTCTTTCCCATTTTCAAAATCGATTGTGCCTCACCTCGTCCAACACGCTGATAGTCTTTCTGCCTCACTCCCTCTCCCTGCACGTAGCACATGACACCAGGCACCCCTCCCGTTGTATTACCTCTCCCTGCCCATAACGCATGCACCCAGCCAGCCTTCAGTCCGCACCGCAATACTCACCTCTTGTGTCACTCCCTTCTTGTAAATCACCCTGTCCAGCACGTTGATTATCTCTCTGCCGCACTCCCTCTCCCTGCCAGTAATGCATGAAACCAGCCAGCCCGTGCTGCCATTCGCCACGGGGCTGGCTCCCCCCCAACTCTGGTTCAAGACAAAGGGGGCAGAAAGCCAAGGGGGCAAAAAGCAAAGAGGGCCAGCAAGCCAAAAGGGGCAGAAAGCCAAGGGGGAGAAAGCGGAAGAGAGGATGGTGAGGACCTCCCTGCCAGTGAGCCACGCACGAAACCAGCCGCACCCTGCTGCCATTCGCCTCAGCGCCGCCTCCCCCCCCACTCTGAGTTGGTCGACAGGGAAAAATTTGACAGACGGAATCAGACGAAAACAAGACAGCAGCCGCCCCCACAAGTGAGTGAGTTACACGAGATAGGGGAAAATGGACAAACGGGGGAGAGAGCAGAACAGAGGCTCCCTGCCTGTGAGGGAGTCACGAGCGACAGCAGCCGCCCCCCATTCACCCACGGGCCCCGCTTAACCCCCTCTTCTGAAGAGGCGCAAAGGGGGGCAAAAGTACAGAGAATAGAGTGAGCAGGCAGTGAGCATCTGCCACCTGCTACCTGCCCCCCTGCCACCTGCCCCCTGCCGCCTGCCGCCTGCCCCCTGCCGAATTCCAGCCACCTGCCACCTTGCAAACTGCCACCTGCCACCTGCCACCTGCCACATGCCACCTGCCACCTGCCACCTGCCCCCTGCCCCCTGCCCCCTGCCACCTGCCACCTGCCACCTGCCCACCTTCCAGCCACCTGCCACCCACCTGCCACCTGCCACCTTCCAGCCACCTGCCACCTGCCACCTGCCACCTGCCCCCTGCCCCCTGCCACCTGCCACCCACCTGCCACCCACCTGCCACCTGCCAGCTTCCAGCCACCTGCCACCTTCCCAGCCCACCTGCCACCTGCCCCTGCCCCTGCCCCCTGCCCCCTGCCACCTGCCACCTGCCCCCTGCTACCTGCCACCTGCCACCTGCCCCCTGCCCCCTGCGACCATGCCACCTGCCACCTGCCACCTGCCATCTCCCACCTGCCCCTCCCGCGGCCCCGTCACCTAACGGCCCCCCGGGGGCCGTCAACCTAGCGGCCCCGCGGCCCTGTCACCTAGCGGCCCAGCGGCCCCGTTACCTAACGGCCCCGCGGCCCCGTCCCCTAGCGGCCCGCGGCCCCGTCACCTAGCGGCCCCGCGGCCCCGTCACCTAGCGGCCCCGTCCCCTAGCGGCCCCGCGGCCCCGTCTCCTAGCGGCCCCGCGGCCTCGTCACCTAGCGGCCCCGCGGCCCCGTCACCTATTGGCCCCGCGGCCCCGTCACCTAGCCGCCCGCGGCCCTGTTGCCTAGCCGTCTCGCCAGCCCCGTCGCCTGGCCGCCCACGGCCCCCGTCTTCTAGCCGCCCAGCGATCCCGCTTAGCCGCCTAGCCACCCACTACCCCCGTCTTCTTGCCGCCAAGCGACCCCGTCGCCTAGCCGCCTAGCCGGCCTCGTTGCCGAGCCACCCGCGGCCGCGTCATCTAACTGCCCCGCGGCCCCGTCGCCTTGCCGACCAGCCTTGCCTCGTCACCTAGCCGCGCGCGGCCCCGCTCTCTAGCCGTCCCAGCCGACCCCGACGCTCAGCCTCCCGCTGCTCCGTCGCCTCGCAACCACGTCGGCCCCTCCCACCGCACTACTCCGCACTCTAATGCACTGCACCGCACTCCACCGTACTACCCCGCTCTCTACCGCACCGCACCGCTCATCACTGCTCCCTGTCGCACTCCTTCACTCAGTACAGCCCACTACCGCTTGTCAGCTGCTGCATCGACCAGGATGGCGGACTCGGTGCTGCGCTTTGACGCGGAGGGTCAGCCGGTCGAGTTTGACACGAGGCTCGTTGACCTCCGCCGTCACGTCACTGGTCAGCGGCAGGATGGCCACTCCCTGGCCGTCCACCTTGACGGTACGCTACCTTGTCCTAACTCCCCTGCTGCTCTACCCGCTGACCCCACGTCTGCTGACCATGAGTCCGCTACCGCTGCTGCCCTTGCCCATGCTATCTGGTTGTCGCGTGACGCTATCGCACAGCTCGCGATTAGTCATGCCCTCCCCCTATCTGAGCACCCCCACTTTCGGTCAGTCAGGACTGTGCAGGAGTTCCTAGAGGCTGTTGTCGCCCGCTATTCCACCCCGCCTCTGCCTCTGTCGGTCGCCTGATCCTGCGACCTTCTCCACTGTCACTGACCTCGCCACGCACTTGCGCACGCTAGACTCGACCTGGTGCGCTGCCTACACTGAGGCCCAGTTTAGTGTGTTTCAGCCCCCCAATTGCTCCACCCTCTACCTGCTTGCCACACGCCTCCTTGACTGCCTTGGTACTCCCCACGATTGCTTTCTTAGTCTCCACCCCGCAGACCTCACCCTCACTGACTTTGTCGACACCTTGTGTGCTATAAAGAATCGTCAGCGCTCTATCGCCTAGCGTAGCGGTACCGTGCCAGTCTCTATCTTTCAGGGTTGTGCCCCTGCTCAGTGCTCTTACTCCGACGGTTCTGATGCGGTTGCTCAGATAGCTCCGCCTCTGGAGACAGCCGTCACAGTGCAGTTTTGTCCGGGTAAGGGTCGCCGCCCCAAGGCTGGGCGCGGCGGAGGTAGCGGAGGAGAAGGTGGCGGCGGGGGTGGAGGTGGTTCTCCCGCTGGTAGTTCCGACGAGGGCGCTGGGGCTGGTGCCTCGGAGCAGCAGCCACAGCAGCAGCAGCAGGCGCCGCCGCAGCAGCTGCAGTAGCAGCAGGAGCAGCAACAGCAGCAGCAGTAGCAGAAGGAGCAACAGCAGCAGCCACAGTAGCAGCAGGAGCAGCAGCAGCAGCACCGGCGGGTCGGCCGTCTACCGCCTGGGTGGCCTGGCGCCGATGGTGGAGGTGGTCGCAGTGGTCGTGCACGCAGCGTATCGTCGGGTGGTGGTGCAAGTGACGGGCATTGCCAGTACCAGCTCCAGACCGGTCCTCGCCACAACTTCGTGTGCGGTAAGATTAGTCATACCCCTACTCGCTGTTTAAGTCACTTAGACGACCTATTTCGTCTCCGCTTCGGCTCGGCGTCGGACCTCCCCGAGTGGCACAGTCTGCTCTGCCGTAGTGTTCGGATCTTTGATATGGACATGGATGAGATTAGCTCTGCCTTGTATGTGCTGTATGTCAATGACTCTAGTGTGACTGGTTCCTATTACCCCGTATTGTCTAGTGTGCCCAGTGTGCCTAGTTCAGGCTCCCCTGTTGCGTCAGGCGTAGGATCCCCTGCTTTGCTTAGACTTGGCTCCACCCTAGCTCTCCGCCCCCAGCAGTGTCCACCACTACAGCGCTCTCCTTCACTCTCGACTTTGGCGCGTCTCGGTGTTTCTTTCGGCACCACACTACGCTTACGCCGCTTGCTGTCCCTGCCGCAGTTGCCCTTGCAGACCCTTCCTCCGGTCCGGTAGTCGCCCGTAGTTCCACCACCCTCCCCTGTTCGGCGGTTCCTTCGGGCTCTCTTCCAGGCCCGCACATCCCCTCGTTCTCTCAGAACCTAGTTGGTGTCGGCTGCCTTCAGGACCTCGGCGTCACCACCACGTTCCCCGGGTCACGAGCGGTACGCTGTCTGTACCGAGGCCGCCACTGGTGCTCCCCTCACCACGTTCCCCCGGGACCCAGTGTCTGGCCTGTTCACGCTGGACACCGCTTCCCCCCCAGTTGGGACGCACCCCCAGGTGGCAGAGTCTACCCGGGTTGTTGCGGCTTGCTCGTGCCGGTCGCTTACTCATCCGTCCCTCCTGTGGCACCGCCTAGGTCACCCCGCCCTCACGCGTCTTTGTTATATACAGTATCTCAGCACGGTCTTGTCTTAGGTCTCCCTGCGTCGTTCCCTGCCCTCCCCCCCTCGGCAGCGCCACCGTGCACCCCCTGCGTCGAGAGTCGGCACCACCGTGCCCCTCACTCCTCCTCGTTCTTCCCCACCACCGCACCGCTGCAGACCCTGCACATGGACGTCTGGGGGCCCGCCCCCATCCATGGGCCGCGTCGCGAGCGCTACTTCCTAGTGCTTACTCTGGTGGGACGAGCTTACTCTGGAAGTCGGTCACATAGGGGGTGAAGTTGTGGCTGGCTCCACTGTCAATCCATCACCCATCTCGTGGCTGCCTTTCTGCTGTTGCTTGCTGCCCAGCCGCTGCCATTGCTTCACCAACAGCACCCTCTGCCGGGTCCTCTTGCTCCTCCTTATCCGCTAATTGTGCCTTGCCTTTGAACCCACCCGGTCGTTTTCGGAAGATTGGTATCGCATTTTTGGGCCTATGAGGGCAACATTGCCATGCATGTCCCTCATTCCAGCACCCACGACACAATCCCCGTGGCGCCAAACCCTACGACCCCTAAGGGAATGTGGGTGCTGCTGACTTGATCGTCGGCGGACCCCCTGGACCCATGCCGTTGTTTCTGCCACTTCTTCCTTGTCCCCCTCCCCTATTCCGGTTGCTGCTGCCATCTCCCCTTCCCCAAGTGGCTGCTCCAAATATGGCTGCACCATCACTCATCAGCGCCGCACCAATGCGCATCTCCTCACTTCTCAGGGAGGTCAACAACTGATCCTTGGAGAGTGAGGATCACTGGTTGCTGAGGATCACTTTGAGCATCTCAAATCGAGGTGGGAGCCCCTTCAGTATCCTCATCATCCATTCTCAACCTCTTCCTTCCCCCCTGCCGCCAAGTACTTGGACCTCAAGTCCTTGGCACGAGCCCAATACGCAGCCAAACCTTCGTCCTCCTTCATTTTCAAGGAAGAAAGCTCCTCTGAGAGAGCCATCATGTTGCACAGTCCACGCTGCAGGTATAAATCCCACACTCGTTTGTACGCCTCTGCTTTTCATGCAGGAATGCGAGTGACAGGTCTCGCCTCCTCGTCGGCAGCAGCGTTGGCAAAACTCAGTTTTGCCCTCAAACTCACGTACGAGGCGAATCAGCTCATCCGGTACCAAGGCATTGCAGAACTGAGCAAATGCCTTTTGATTTCTCCTGTCCCACTTCCCCTGTGCATCGCCCGAGGTTGGCCGCTCCTCCGAACCATGATAGAATCCTCAAATGCCATATGCTTCCACCCATTGCTCGAACCGGATGCTCCAAGTCCAATAACTATTCCCATCGAACTTTTGGGCACTCTCCCATTTTTCATCACCCTTCTCCTGCTCCATGCCCGGCGTCAGCATCGGCGGCGATGGCGGCGGATGTGGCGAGGGGAGCGGCGACGACTGTGGCAGTGGTGTCAATGTCGACCGGTGCGACGTCGGTAGGGCTACCCCCTCCTGGTTTATGGGGCGTAACTCCAAGTTCTGGTCTCCGAATGACGATCTGTGTGTGGCTACTAAATCCTTACTCCGAGGGCTTTCCAGCTAGATATTGCATTTTTTGTTCCCACTGTCAGTTTCAGCGCTTAAGTTCTCCGAAGTTTGTCGACTTGTTGTCAGCGAGTCGACGAGGTCGTTTGAAGTGAGATTTCGTGATGCTACCTCCACTGTTCCCCCCAAGTTTTGACTTGTTGGATGCGCACTGATGTCCTCTATTGGCGCCTAGGATCCACTCCCTTTCTCGCGGTCGTGATCAGCGACTGTTCGCGTTCTCCCAGACTCTTCCGATTTTCTGTCACCGATCGAATATCTTGATTTTCGCCCAATCCGCTTATCAGATGGCGACGACCTCAAGGCAAATGTTGTAGATATTGCGTCCTTTCCAATGGTATGCTGATCGTCTCCAACACATGTCTTCAACCGAACACCCTTGAGAGAAGATGCCGCTTCTCTCGTCCTCCCAAGCGGATCAACACGTCGTCCAGCGTGTTTCTCCTTCCCTTCACCGGTGCCACGCCCAAGGTCCGCCATGACGATCTACGGTTTGATGTCGGCAGCCTTTTGGGATCGATGGAAAGCCCTTTTGCTTCCACCAAGGATTGAAAATCTCTTTTGTACTAGGTCGCTCTTCCAATGGGTCACTAGACTTCCCTCAGTTCTTATACCATGTGAGAGTGTTCTAAGAGACTAATGCATCCTTAGAACTTCCTCCTAGAGTCTAGGATGCTTAGGAACCAAATTGGACATGACCTATTCTTGAGAGGCACCATCAAATCCAAGAAGTGAGTTTCAGCCAAGTCACAACCATCCCTAAAGGATCTACCTATGAGTTTACCTTCTAGAAGCATTCCCAACCCATCCAATGAAAGTCCTCTACACTACCAAACCTATAGTCAATCAGCTATATGTATGTTTATTGGAGCAACCTAGATACTATACTCCCATAATTCCAACAATAGCAAGACCCATGTCTTAGAGTAGCAAAGTGACTAGAAGGGGCAGTAGGGCAGCAGGGGCTGACTGTTAGAAGTAGGTTTTAGCTAGGTGGGAAAAGTAACGAGAGAAAAGAGATTTGACTAGGAGAGAGAGAGAGGTACAAGAAGTGGATTGTACCCTCTACAGTAGGATCCAGTCATTTGTAGAACACCCAACACCTACCAAGCCTACACAACTATACATATAGAATACATAAATTGACACCCCTTAGGCTTGGTAGGCACTAGCACACCACACACGCAACACCCCCAAGCCCTTGCACCCCCATGTCCTGCAGCAGCTGTGGCTTCTACCCCTTGGCATGTGAGACAGCAACGTCGGTGGCGGGTGGCAGCAACGGCCTTAGCGGCGGCTACGACGATGACAGCGGCGGCGGCGGTGGCGGGTGGCGGCGGAGCCAGCTGCACCTTCTGCAGCGGCGGCGGCTTCGACGATGGCGGCGGCGACCGCGAAGCCCGCCGCACCCGGCGGCGTGGCACGGCCCGACGACGACGGGGAAGGGAGTCATCGGCTGCGGCTGGGACGAGGGGAGACGCAGGAGAGGGGGTGTGCCTCTAGCGATGCGCCCTGGCTGGCGCAATGGCTGGCGTGCGGGCGTGCTGGCTGGCGTCTAAAACAGGGCACTGGCTGCAGCCGTCCGTGCGCTGGCGCATCGAAGCCGCCACAGCAGCACGACGAGGCCACCGCGGCAGCGCGGCTAGGCCGCCACGGCTGCTCGACGAGGCTGCCACGCGTCGAGGCCGCCATGGCAGCAGGACGTGGCCGCCACGGCAGCGCGTCGAGGCTGTTACGACAGCACAACGAGGCCGCCGCGGCAACTCGACGGGGCCGTCGCGGCAACTCGACGAGGCCGCCGCGGCAGCGCGTCGAGGCCGCTAGGCTGCACATGGAGGCTGCCACGGTGGCGCGAAAGTGAGAGGGGAGAGTACGGGGCGAAAGCGTGAATAGGAGGCTCAGCAGGATCTTCCTGGTCTGGTACCATGTTAGAAGTAGGTTTAGGTTAGGTAGGCATGAGAATAAAGAGAGGTTTTAGCTAGGTGGGAACAGTAATGAGAGAAAAGAGATTTGACTAGGAGAGAGAGAGAGAGGTACAAGAAGTGGATTGTACCCACTACAGTATGATCCAGTCATTTGTAGAACATCCAACACCTACCAAGCCTACACAACTATATATATAGAATGTAAGTTGACACACACCCCCTCTAACGACACTGCACGGCCATCACAGAGGTGGTAGGTGGCCTCCTCTAGGACCCTGCTCTAGGCTCGAGGAGGCTCCAGATCCCTTCCCGAGCCTGGGGCAAATGACGGACTAATGAACTTCACAGTTAGTATAGAGAGAGCGAGTCATACACGCTGGCTGGGAGTCATGGCAAGGACGCCCCCTTTAAACAGCACCTCAACGCATCGCAAACGGCTCAAGGCAGCTCCAGATCTCACACTATGAGGGCATGGCAAATGACTCTCAATTGACCTCAACAGTTAGTAGAGATAGCGAGTCGTGCACCCTTGCAGTCGTGGCGGGGGCGCCCCCCTTAGACAGCACCCTGCGCGCATCACAGATGGCTCAAGGTGACAGTGGGGCGCCTCCAAGTTAGTAGAGAGACAGCGAGTCGTGCACCCTGGCAGTGGTAGCAGGCGCGCCCCCCTTCGACAGCACCCCGCGCGCGTCACAGATGGCGCGTGGCGGCTCCAAATCCCTTTCCATGAGGGCGTGGCCCTGCAGCCGCTGCATCTGCTGTGCAAAGAGGTTGTCCAACGTCTGGTGGATGGGGGGGGGGGGAGGGGGGGAGGGATTGTGGAGATTCAGGGAGGCAAGGGGAAGCATCTGAGCCAGAAGCTCTCTCCATGCGCGCGTGGCCCTGCAGCCGCTGCACCTGCTGTGCAAAGAGGTTGTCAAGTGTCTGGTAGGGGTGTGGGAGTGTGGGGTGTGGGAGTGTGGGAGTGTGGGATGTGAATATGGGGAGGTGCAAGGCAATACAAATCAGCAGAAAAACCTTGCGCCAACACGTGGCCCTGCAGCCGTTGCATCTGGTGCGCCAACAGGTTGTCCAAAGTCTGACATGGGGTGTCGGGTTTAGTGGGGGTTATGAGTGTTGGCGCTGAGGGGTTACTGTCATGCTTGCATCCAGTCTCGTACCGTCATGCTTACAAGCCTCACAGAAGCCCTGCTTACATCGAGGGTGATAGCAGCGGAGGCGCTCTTGAACCACGACACCCCCTCCCGCCTTTTCTCCAGGAAGTGCAGCACCTCCCGCCCGTGCCGGTCCCACAGACCCCTCGCCGTGCCCATGAACACTCGGCTGCTCAACACTGCATCCGCCTGGTTGGGGGGGGGTGGACGGGAGAGGGAGGGCGAGAGGGAGCAGGAGGGGGAGAGGGAGCAGGAGGGAGAGAGGGAGCAGGAGGGAGAGAGGGAGCAGGAGGGGGAGAGGGAGCATGAGGGGGAGACGGGTGCGTGGGATGACCGTCAAGCTAGCTCACTCGGCGGTCCCACAGGCCCCTCGCCGTGCCCACGAACACACGGCTACTCAACACTGCGTCCGCCTGGTGGGAAGGGGGGGGAGAGAGGGGCGGGAGATGGGGAAAGGTGGGGGCACGGAGAGGGAGGGAGGGGGAGGGTGCATGTGAGTTGGCTCAATAAAATGGTCCCACAGGCCCCTCGTCGTGAACACGGACACACGGCTGCTCAACACTGCGTTTGCCTGGTTGGGAGGGAGAAGGGGGGAGGAGGGAATGGGGGAGTGTGAGGGAGGAAAGGGGAGAGGGGGTTGTGTGGGATGAGGACTAAGAGTCGGCTCATTAGACGGCCCCACAGGCCCCTCGCCGCGCCCACGAACACACGGCTGCTCAACACTGCATCGGCCTGGTTGGGAGAGAGAAGGGGAGGCGGGAATGGGGAAGTGTGAGGGATGAAAGGGGGAGTGTGAGTGCGGAATGGGGGAGTGTGAGGGAGGAAAGGGGAGAGGGGGGTGTGTGGGATGAGCACTAAGAGTCGGCTCACTAGACGGCCCCACAGGCCCCTCGCCGCGCCCACGAACACACGGCTGCTCGTGAGGAGGGAAGGGAAAAGGGGGAGGAGATGGGGTAGCAGCAGCACTTGAGTTGGCTTGTCTGTTGGTCCCACAGTCCCCTCGCGTGGAAATTACTCGACTTGGCTCAGTAAGATGCCACAGGCCCCTCGCTAGCAGTGAGGCAGCGAGGGCAGACAGCGGGTGCCCCCGCCAATGCAGCCCTTGCAGGGCCATGCACCTGTTGCAGCAGATGCAGTGCACCCGCTAGAAGCGAGGCAGTGAGGGCAGACAGCTCGTGCATCCGCTCTCCCACAGCCCCTTCCAAGACAGCGGGTACATCTTGGACGCGATGCCATTGCCTGCCTATTGTCATGCCTGGTGGGCATGGTGGCCTGGGAGTTCAACTCCAGTAGGATATGCTTTCCTGAGCAACGACCCAATAAGAGCAGAGAGCGGCTGTAGTTTGGACGTCATGTCGTTGCCTGCCTGCCTGCCGTCACCTGGGCTGGGCAGTCAAGTGTGGAGATTCGACTCACCTGAGCTAACAACGATCCAATAAGAGCAGAGAGCGGCTGCAGCTTAGACGTCATGTCGTCGCCTGCCTGCGGGCGCACCTCCTTCAACACCCCGCTTTAACGACGTGGTGCGGCCCAGCTGGGTCTGCGTGGAGGGAGGAGAGGGGGTGAATGGCGAAGGGCAGGTTAGTCTAAGGAGCCTGTGTGCGGGCGCATCTCCTTCAACACTCGCTTTAACGACGTGGTGCGGCCCAGCTGGGTCTGCTCACACAAGGGAGGGGGGAATATGGGATGGAAGGAAAAGGGTAAGTGCGCTTTTGTAAATGGCCTCAAGGAGGGCGCGCCTCCTTCAGCACTCGCTTTAGCGACGTGGTGCGGCCCAGCTGGGTCTGCTCTCAGAAGGATGGAGGGGAGAAAGTGGAGAGGAGGAGAAAGGGTAAGTGTGCTATCAAGGCGCCTCAGAACACCTCCACAAACAACACCTGCCCAAACAGCACCTCCCCAAACAAAACCTGCCCAAACAGCACCTCCCCAAACAACACCTTCACAAGCAATACCTCCCTTCCCCCCAGCACACTCACGTTTTCATACAGCTTCTCCACCACGCCCTGCAGTGTCGTCCTGTACGTGGTCCTTGGCTCTATTGTCTCACTCAACGTCTCCCCGAATAACACCTTCACAAGCGATACCTTCCCCCCTTCCCCCCTCACATACTCACATTCTCATACAGCTTCTCCACCACGCCCTGCAGTATCGCCCTGTAAGTCGTCCTTAGCTCCACACAGTCACCTCGCTCAACATCTCCCCAGGTGATTCCTTCCCTTCCCCCTTAATACTCACATTCTCGTATAGTTTCTCCACCACGCCCTGCAGTGTCGCCCTGTACGTGGTCCTTAGCTCCACAGTCACCTCACTCAACATCTCCCCGAATAACACCTCCCTTCCCCCCGCCACCCCTCCTCCCCCTGTTCCCCCTGCTCCCCCCATCCCCCCTGCCTCCTCCATTCCCCCTCCCTGCCCTCTCCCCCTACCCCCTGCTGCCTCCGCCCAGGCATTCCCCCCACCAGCGCCTCCCCCCAGCCCTCCTCCGCCCATCCCCCCCTGTCCTCCTGCGCCTGCTCCTCCCCCTCCCCCGCCCCCTCCGCCTCCCCCTCCCCCTCCCCCAGCAGCAGCAGCAGCCACCTTCTTAGCCGCAGCGCCTAGCATGGCGGCAGCAGCGGCGGCAGCAGCAGCGGTGCCCCCCCCTGAGGGCCGCTTGGGAGGGGCGGAGTTGCGCTGGGGGGGGCGGATGAGGGACGCAGGAGGGGTGTTGGCCACCCACTTGCGCATCCGCAGCTCCACTGTTGGGCGGAGCGTTTCCAGCATTCGCTTGATGGTGTTGAGATACACGCCCAGCTGAGAAAGAAAGGTGGGGGGGAAGGGGCAGGGGACGAAAAGGCACAGGGGCAAGTGGGAAGGGAGGGGGGGATGAGGGAGGGTGAAGGGGTGTTGGCCACCCACTTGTGCATCCGCAGCTGTTGGTCGCAGGGTCTCCAGCATTCGCTTGATGGTGTTGAGATACACGCCCAGCTGAGGGGAGGGGAGAGGGGGGAGACAAGGAAGCGAGGGGGAAATGGAAGAGGAGCGGAGGCAGAGGAGGAGGAAAATGAGGGAACAAAGGAAGGGAGGGGAAGCTGCCACTTGGTAGCCGAAGGGTGGGGCAGCAGCGGGAGAGCATAATCACGAGTTTTATTCCTGGTGGAGAAACAGAAAAAAACGTGGGTGGAGGGACAAGGCGTGGGGGGGGGGAGTGGCAGTCTTGGTATGAGCACTTGGTGTTAAAAACTGAGAACTTGATTGATACAATGAGCAAGAGCATGCATCCTTAAGTACCGAGCATCGAAGAGGATGGGAAGGGTTAAGGGAAAATCAGAGGGAATCCCAAGGGCATCCTCCCAAATCATGGGGATTTGGGATGGATTGGGTTGGGATAGGTTGGGGATGAAAACATAGCTACACCCAACCTAACAAATATGCGTATCCCTATAACCAACAAATTGCCAACACACAAAGTTGTGCCAACCGAACTGCAGCCTATCTGTAACACACCCCCTAGGCTGCAACGTCGGAAGCCGTAGGCACGCCAAGTCCCATGGTACGGAGGAGACGATAGTGATCACAGCGTCCAAGAGCCTTCGTAAACAAAGTCGGCGAGGTTGCAGTCAGAGGAAATATGCTTGACGCACAATCGCCCTTGCTGGACGAGCTCGCGCATGAAGAAGTGTCTCAGTTCGATATGCTTGGTTCGTTGGTGGAAGGCAGGATCTTTGGTAAGGTGGATGGTGCTCTCGTTATCACACCACAGAGTCAGGGTCTGCTGAGGATACCCGATCTCAGCCATGGGGTAGGTAAGCCATCGAGCTTCTAGGGCGGCCATGGTGCCTGCGTATAGCTCAGCTTCGCAGAATGACAATGAGACGGATGATGAGCGTGTAGATCGCCAGCTGATGACACCACTACCAAGGGTGAAGCAATAGCCTTGGGAAGAGCGGCGGTGAGCTTGATCATCAGCCCATGAGGATACGTTGTATCCCTCGAGGTGAGGAGGGGTCGTGCCACCGAGAATGAGGACGTAGTCCTTGGTGGCTTGGAGGTAGCAAAGGACGCGCTTAGCAGCCGACCAGTGGCAATTTGTGTATCGACTGGCAGCAACGAAACGCGAGAGCACACTGATGGGGTAGGCAAGGTCGGGCCTTGTGCACATCATCGCATACATGAGTGATCCGACGAGCTCGGGGTATGCCTCATCACAAGGCTCGGGCGATGGAACTGATGGAGCGATCAGATCATGCTGCAAGGGAAGGGGAGTGGCCACTGGCTTGGCGTTGTCCATGGCAAAACGCTTGAGGACGTTGTTCACATAAAACTCTTGAGAGAGAGTGATGGTTCGAGCTTCGTGATCCCGCGAGATTTCCATCCCAAGGTAGTTCTTGACTTCGCCGAGGTCCTTCATGGCGAGAGCGTCCCCAAGAGCTTGCTAAACAACTTCCAGCTAATCGGAGTCCTTGGAGACGAGAATCGTATCGTCAACGTAGACGAGAATGAAGAACTGCTTCAACCAGTAGACTGGTCGATTCAGCTTCCAGACCATGCCGGGTGGAAAGGGCAAGGGAAATCCTTGAGGATGTTCCATGTAGATGTCCTCAAGGAGATCCCCTGGGAGAAATGCGGCAGAGATGTCCATGGAGTGAACGTCAAAGTTGCATCGAGCGGCGATGTCCAGCAGGGTCCGTACGTGGGCAGTTTGGCCGTCGGAGAGAACGTGTCGAAGACGCCCAGGCCTTTCTTCTGCGTGAAACCTTTTGAACAGTATCGTGCCTTGAAGACTAGGAGTTCGCCAGGCAGCTGCTTAAAGCGAAAAACCCATTTGCCACGGACAATGTTAACTCCTCACGGAGGAGTGACGTCCGTGAAAGAATTGTTATGAATGAATGCTTCACACTCCGTGATCAAGGGTGCGAGCCACTGAGGGGAGTGTGGCCCAGAGATGGCTTCATCATACGACTTCGGGGTCGAAATGGATGGATTTTTCGAGAAGTTGAGAGTTGGAGCGCCGGCAAGATCGGGGAAGAGATAGAAGAGCTGACGGATGGCAGCATTGATCTCAATCAGCTCCTCATGCCTATCCTCCAAGAGGCCAGGCATGGATGCACCCCCGGCAAGAGGAGGCGGATTGAGGGAGATGCGAACAAAGAGGGCGAGAGGCGGAGCGGGACCATGAGAGCAGGTGCGGTGAGCAACAGGGACAGGAGAGGAGGGAGGTGACGGGGGAGGAGGTGGAACGTCGACATAAGAGCGCCCTTGGCGGCGGCGACGATAGGTGACAAGGGATTCAGGAGAAGAGGTGGAGGTGGGAGGCGGAAGCGGAGATGGAGGTGAAGTCGGAGATGGAGGTGCAGGCGCAGGGGGGGGTGCAGAAGGAGAGGGAGGTGGAGGGGCAGCGGGAGGAGCGGGTGCACGGGGAGGTGCAGCTGCCGACAAAGGTGAAGGGGCAACGGAGCTGGTGGGGGAAGGGGGGTGAGAGAGAGTCGAAGGAGATGGAGGAGGTGAGAGTGAGGGGGCTGCGGGGGCAGCGGCAGAGGGAGGAGGTGGAGAGGGTGAAGTGTCAAATTCAGCCCACAAAAGTAAGGTGAAGCGGTGGCCGGTGGTGAGGAGAGGTAAAACGGGCGACTCTCGTCAAATGCGACGTCGCGGGTGCGAAAGAGCTTATTGGTGGAGGGATTGAGAAAGAGGTAGTCGGAAGAGTCCAAGTTGTGGCCGAGGTAGACACATGGTTGAGTTTTTTGTGCAAATTTGCCACCATGGGTGCGACGCTCTTGAGGGTTGAGGAGGACGTAGGCGGTACACCCCCATACGCGGAGAGGACATGCACTTGGCTTGGTAACGGTCCACAGTTCGGCGGGAGTGATGCCAGGCCGAAGAGGGTGAGGATGAAGGTTGTAAAGCAGCGTGGCATGGAGGAGTGCGTAACTCCAAAGAGAAGGTGAAGCACCAGCGTGAGTAAGAAGACAGCGGGCGATTTGCACGAGGGTGCAATTGCGACTCTCGGCAATGCAATTCTGTTGCGGACTATGGGGAAGGGTGAAGGATTGGCAAATGCCTTGGGAAGCGCAGAACGTTTGAAGGGAATGACTTCGAAATTCTCAACCGCCATCGGAATTGAGGCACTTGACTGATGTCCGGAAATGGTTTTGGGCTTGTCGAACCCATGCAATGACGAGATCTGAAACAGCTGCTTTGGAGGAGAGTAGGTGGACGGACGCATAGCGGGAGTGATCGTCAACGAGCACTAGGAAGTAGGAGTGCCCGCCACGAGAGCGTATTGGAGCCGTGCCCCAGACGTCCATGAGGACGAGATCAAGCGGGGCAGCTGCAGCAGAGGGTGAAGAAGGGTGAGGCAGCTGTCGCAGTTTGCTTTGTGCGCATTCCAAGCATGGAGGAGCGGGAGAAAGTGGAGGGTGGAGGAAGTGTCTCGGGCATGTGAAGAAACAACTTCTTGGATGCAAGCTCGGAAAGCATGCGGAAGTTGGGATGCCCCTGACGACGGTGGTAAAGAATGGTTGGGTCGGTGAGCTGACGACAAGAGCACGATGAGGTGGTGGAGGTAGAGTGTGCCTCAGTGGGAGATGGAGATACTTGGAGCGTGTAGAGATTGTTGGCCGTCAGTGTGAAGCGTGCAAGGAGTGCTTTGGTGGTGGGGTCAAGGACATCACAGTGATTCGAGTGAGCTGGGAAGATGGTGGTTACCCCTGCTCGTTGAATCTCATGCTGAGCGAGTAGATTGTGCCGAAGAGTGGGCACGCAGATACCAGTGACTGAGCCTGATGGTAAGGCTTGGCATGGAAGAGTGGATGAACCATGGGCAACAGTGGTGAAGCTGGAGTCAGCGCCTAGGAGAGGAATAGGTGCTTGGTATGGTTTGAAGGACTGTTTGTCCCGGAGGACTGTGTGGGTTGCACCACTGTCTAGGATGAATTCAAGTGGTTTACATGGTGTATGTGCAGGCGCCAAGTACTTGGAACTGGTTCCATTGATCATAGGAAGGTCCGGGAACAACAGGTTCAGACGAACATCAGGACTAGGGGTATCCATGGCTGCGTCCTGAATCTTCCATGCCATGATGCTCCAAGGACCCTTTCACTGCACGTAGCGCAGCTCTTAAGTCGTCGATAGGCACTTCGGATTAAGAAGCAAATCTGATCACCGGAAAATCTACACGAAATGTCAAGATGCGGGGCGACGGGCTGCAGCCCGAAGAGAAGCGCTGCACAGATTTTTAGGCGGCTAGAAAAAACTTTTGCGTCGTAAGGCGCAAATGCTAGGCTCCAACAGAGCGAGAGGATCAAGAGCCGCTTAGGCGGAAACGAGCTCTCATACCATATTAGAAACTAAGAACTTGATTGATACAATGAGCAAGAGCATACATCCTTACGTACCGAGCATCGGAGAGGATGGGAAGGGATAAGGGAAAATCGGAGGGAATCCCAAGGGCATCCTCCCAAATCGTGGGGATTTGGGATGGATTGGGTTGGGATAGGTTGGGGATGAAAACATAGCTACACCCAACCTAACAAATATGCGTGTCCTTAAAACCAACAAATTGCCAACACACAAAGTTGTGCCAACCGAATTGGAGCCTATCTGTAACACTTGGGGTGTTGGTATGAGCACTTGGGGTGTTGGTATGAGCTCACCCTAATGGCTAGGCACTCAGCTCACCTCTATAGGCACTTGATATGCGAGGGTGGGGCGGCGGCGCGAAAGCATGCTGAGAATCTTCTTCTTGGTGGAGGTGGAGGAGGCGGAGGAGGAGGAGGGGGTGTTGAGGAGGAGGAGGAAGTTCTGGAAGTGAGACGCGAGGGACGAGATGGCGGCTCGCTCCACATCGCATACGGCCTGCATGGAAAAGTCGAAGAGTAAAAAGAAACATGTGGCAGTCATGTGACTTTTGAGCAGAAGCAGGATGTTCTCAAGTGAGATGCGAGGGATGAGATGGCTGCTCGCTCCACGTCGCATACCGCCTGCATAGGAGGGAAGCACATTGGGGGGACACATATGGAAGGGACACACATGGGGGGGACACACATGGCAACGATGTGACCGATTCATAGCAGGATGCATGACACGCTGAATGGAGCTGGACCACTCGCTGTTAAAGACACATCGTGCCATGCCCCTTCCCCACTGCACCGTTGCCTCACCTCCTCCACCAGCAGCGTGCAAGCTCGTGCAGATAGTGTTATTAGTGTTCTAACAACACACGGAAGCTATCGGCCCAGCACTGATTCAAGCTCATGCAGTTAGTGTTGTTAGTGTTCTAACAACACACAGAGGCTATCGGCCCAGCACTGAATCAAGCTCGTGCAGCACACAGTTCACGGTGCCATAAACCTCCTCCTAATGCCATTCCGTACCCCCTGCGCCATGCCTCCCCAATGCGCCATGCCTCCCCAATGCGCCATGCCTCCACCCTATTGCCTCACCTCCTCCACAAGAAGGGTGTACTGGGGCCATCTGCCCAGCACGGAGTCCAGCTCGTCCAGCAGGCTGTTCACGGCGCCATACACCTCCTCCATAAACGGTGACGTGGCATTGCGGTCCGACATGGGGGCTAGCACCGCCCACTGGTGGGGGAAGGCCAGAGGGAGATGTGGTGAGAGGAGGAGAGGGAAGAGAGCAGGCATTTCAATCACCTACTGCTACTGACGCCATACACCTCCTCCATGAACGGTGACGAGGCGTTGCGGTCTGACATGGGTGCCAGCACTGCCCACTGTAAGAGAGGAGAGGGGAGGGGAGGGGGGGGGAAGAGAGAGATGATGCGCGCATTGCCCACTGCAGGCTGTTGGTGAGATAGAGACGTTTGTGCCAATAGGAAGCTCTTGATGACGCCATACACCTCCTCCATAAAAGGTGACGCGGTGTTGCGGTGCGACATGGGTTCCTCACATGAAGGGTGACGTGGAATTGCGGTCTGCCATGGGTGCTCCTCGAGTACCGGGAGGGAGGGAGGAGAGAAAATAAGGGGGATTTTGTGCTTAGTGCGAAAGGGGATTAAGCAGTCAGCAACAGCTTCAAATAGTCCTGGCATGTGACTGCCATGATCAACAGAGCAGTCGAACCACTGCCCGCACCGTTCAAAACAGCTCCTCTCTTGCCGCCTTCTCTCTTGCTTTTTGCCAAACGGGGCGCGCATTCGCACGACTGAAATAGATTGTCACTATGGTGAAAGGGGATATCTGATAGTCACATGGGTGTACCAAAGAGCGTGCAGCAAAGGAGAAGCTGTTTGAAACGGTGCTGACAGTGGTTCGACTGCTGTCGCATTTCAGAAAAGCATGTCAGCACATTCGACAACGTTTGTGCACAATAACCCTAGCGCTAGAACTGATGGTTGCAGGTGATTTTTGAGAGTTCTCAAAAGGCAAGGAGAAAGTTGTGGCTGCAAAGCACACTAAATTGTAGAAATGTGCGTGCAGCTAGACGGGGTTTCCAGGCTGATTCACTAGCTGCCATCTCACTCATGTTTGGTCAGCCAGCAGTGCTAGTCAGGCTAATGGCACATACATGCCATTAGCCACATGCAACATGCCATTAGCCACATGCCACACACCACACGCCCCACGCCACACGCCACACACCACATGCCACGTGCCACATGCCACACACGACACGCCACGCACCACACACCACACGCCACATGCCACACGCCACACATACCTTGGGAGCTCGGCAGACATCCATGAGGGTGTGAGTGCGCTCTCTGATCCACGCCTCCACATACACCCCGAACAGCTCCCGTGCGTCTAAGCCCCCTGGCACCTTGCTGCTTGGGATGAAGACAGGTGGAATGAAAGAGAGGCACAACGGGAAGGAGAGGGGCGAAGCGAATTGAAGGTGATGCTAGAGAAAAGGATGCGGGGATTAAGCAACAACATACATGCATACGTGCACCATGATACCAACATGCATGCATCATGACAGAAAGGCACCATCATCGCAACATGCATGCACAACATAGCTACAAAGCGCAAGCACTACACTCACCCCACGCCCCACAGCAGCAGCCTATCCTCCACGTCAGCAGTGGCGTGCAGCAGATTCTTGACATGTGGCAGCGGGTGCTGAGGCGGCACCGCCAGCAGGAACTGGTTGACCCTCCTCTGCAGCTCCACCATGTACACGCCAGCCGTCAGCTCGGGGAGGTCCACGAAGCTGAAAGGGGAGGAAAGGAATAGAGACGGGTAGGGTACTCTTCCTCTAATTAATACAACGGACCATTTGGGTAGGTAAGGCATGGCCCCTAGATTGGGGTCCCTTTGTCTTCAGCAGCTCGGGCAGATCCACGAAGCTGGGTGGTTGAGAGAACCGGGGGTGTTGAGGGGTAGGGATGTCAGCCGAGGTCCCATTGATCTTCTGCACCTGCACCATGCACACCTGCCAGCTGTCAGCTCGGGGAGGTCCAGAAAGCTGCGAAAGAGAGAGCTGCAAGTTGGGAGGAGATGGAAGGAGTGGGAGTTGGGGGTTGGGCGAGTGTTGGGGGGAGATGGAGGCCTCTGAACAATGAGCGTCCACGAGGTACACGCCAGATGTCAGCTCGGGCAGATGGATTTTTGATGTGCCTCAAGACTAGACTCAGCTTGGGGAAGATCGACAAAGCTGAGAAGGAATGAACAGACGGAAGGAGAACCGGGAGAGGGTGGCACTCAGGACCCTCAATCCGAAAGCTGTTTGACGCATGTAGCCCGCCCCGCCATGATGCACACACCAGCTGACAGATGAGAACGAATTGGGAGAGTATGGGGATGGGCAAGATGTGGATACCAGTGTCTGTGTGGAGGGAGGTGCGCCACACACGCCACAAACACACAGAGCATGACACCCAGCAACCCAACTGGGCAGGATGTGCTGGTTGTGAATGCCGATATCCGCCTGCACCTCGCGCCAGATCGCCACACGCACTTGCACCCACTAGGACCCCTTTAGAGCAACACCCCTTACTCACATACAGCAACCCACCTGGGCAGGATGTGCTGGTTGTGGATCCCGATATCCGCCTGCACCTCGCGCCACATCGCCACACGCACTTGCACCCACTAGGACCCCTTTAGAGCAACACCCCTTACACACATACAGCAACCCACCTGGGCAGGATGTGCTGGTTGTGGATCCCGATATCCGCCTGCACCTCGCGCCACATCGCCACACACGCCAGCCGCATGCTCACATATGCCTCCCTCTGCCCCTCCATGTCCCTCCCATCCACAAACCGTATCCCACCTCCTCCAACCCCCCCCACTCCCCCTCTCCCCCTTCCCCCCCCTGGACTGCAACCCATGCCCGCTTGCCCCTGCCCATGCCCCCCCTGCCCGTGAGTAGTGCTTCCGCCAGCACCCATGAGGGCGGATGTGCCGTTCACGTATTCGTCTGTCTCGGACAGGTGCTGCCTGCAGCGGCGCCGCGCTGCTGTCTGTTTGGAGGGTGATAGGAAAAAAGGGCAAGTGCGGTGGTGGGGATGTGTAAAGGTGGGGGAGGGAGGAGGTGCTGTTGACGTATTCATCTTTTCTGTCTCTGACAGGTGCTGCCTGCACCGACGCCGCGCTGCTGTCTGTAAGAGGGGGAAGAGAGCGACGTCGCAATGGGGATGGAGGTTGAGAGATGGGAGGATGTGCCAGTGACGCATTCGGCCGTCTCTGACAGGTGCTACCTGCACCAGCGACCCGCTGCCACCTGTTAGGGATAAGACAAAGGTTGGGAGTGGGCAGAAAAAGTGGTAGAGGCTTTGAAAGAAGGGGCAGGAAGACCGATCAACCGGACAACAAGCCATGATGATCCCCAACCTCACCATGTTGCAACTCACGCAGCGGTTGCGTTACAACTTTGAGAATTCTCGAAAAACACAGGAGAGGCGAAGAACAGGTGACAGATCATACAGACTGGACTGGACGACAAGCCATGATGACCTCCGACCTCACCATGTTGCAACCCCGGCCGCAGCAGATCATTCAGCAGCCCCAACCTCTGCACCCCGAAAGAATCACTTGCAGATCATTCAGCAGCGAGAGCTGCCGCCTCTGCTGCCACCATTCCTCATCCCCCCTTTCCCAGCCACCTCGTCTTAGACATGCCAGTCTTGCAAGTATCTGCAGAACTGCTACTGCACCTTTGGCAGCAGCGAGTTGCTCAGCAGCAAATCATCCCATATTTTGAGTTGACTCAAAAGCAGAGACGCTCAGCAAATCATCCCGCATTTCCCCCCACCCGTCTCACCTGCCAGTATCTGCACAACTGGTGCTGCACTTCCGGCAGCAGCAAAACATTCAACAGACCCAACAGGTGCTCTGCTGAGGTGAATGCTCGGGCGGGCCACCAGCGCTGCTGCCTCTGCTCCCATAAGAACTGGTTGAGTACGAAGTACGAAACCCCACATCGTACCAATCAGCCCCACCCTTACCTGCAGGTATCCACAGAACTGCTGCTGCACTTCAGGCAGCAAAAGGTCATTCAGCAGCCCAAACAGCTGCACTGCAGGGGGAATGGCAGGAGCCACCAGCGCTGCTGCCTCTGCTCCCACCAGCGACCGCCCGAGCGAAGCACAGAGATGGGCGGCAGAGCGGGAAGAGTCGACGATGCCTGACGGCGCGGACTCGTTGAGGGACTTGTAGCTCTCAAAGGTCAGTTGCAGCAAGTCTCCCACCCGCTCCTCCATATCCGCTAGCATGCGCGCCTGCAGATTTGGGTGGTTGGGGGACTGGCAGTGTGAGTCACAGAGTGAGCTGGCGGCAGAGCGGGACGAGTCTGTGATGCCTGAAGGGGCCGACTCGCTGAGGGACTTGCAGCTCTCCAAGGTCACTTGCACCAAGTCCCCCACCCGCTCCTCCATATCTGCGAGCATGCGCGCCTGCCGTGGGGGGGGCCGGGGAGGGGGGGGGGGGGGTGGACGGAAGGGGGGACGAGAGGGAGTACGGAGCGATGCACGGAGGTGGGTGGCGGAGCGGGAGGAGTCAGCAGTACCCCAAGGGGCCGACTCGCTGAGGGACTTGCAGCTCTCCAAGGTCAGCTGGAGGAGGTCGCCCGCCCTCTCCTCCATGCCTGTTCTGTTGCCGTGCGCGCCTGGGGGGAGGGAGGGGGGTGGGAGGAACAGGGATGGGGAAGATAAGCGACGCCGGAACGGGCAGACAAGCGGAGGGACTTGTAGCTATCGAAGGTCAGTTGCAATAGATCGCCCACTCGTTCCTCCATGTCTGCTGGCATGCGCACCTGGATGGGGCAAAGGGAACGGCGATGAAGGGGAGAACAGAGGGATGCACAAAGGTGGGTGGCTGTGGGAGGAGTGTGTGATGCTGGAAGTATTCGGTTTTGAAAATTGCCAAAAATAAAAACCGAACACGGTTTTTGAAATTTCTCTAAAACCTAACACGGCAAAGGAGGGGAGAAAAGAGGGATGCAAAGAGGTTGGTGGCTGTGGGAGGAGTGTGTGATGCCAGAAGGGCCAGGGAGCCGGTCAGCCGTAGGCTTTTGAGTCGACCCCGGAGTCTCCTAGCATCGCATCACTCACCTCCTGTTTAGTTTCACTGCTCGGATCGCTGTCATGAGCATGCAGCATGGGCGCCAGCAACTGGTGGATGAGAGAGAGAGAGAGGCAGAGAGCCGTTGGCGTTAATAGTAAAAACACTCACCTCCTGTTTGGTCACGCTGCTGCCATCAGTGTCGTGTGCATGCAGCACGGGCGCCAGCAGCTGGTGGATGAGACAGAGACAGTCAGCGGTTGGTGTTGCCACGTCCATCACACGTGTCAGGTACCTGCAGAGGCGGGGGGGGGGGGGGGTGAAGATACCAAGACAAAGGTTGAAAGCAGCAGAGAATCCAGGGTGGAGGGTGAAGGGTGGAGGGTGAAGGGTGGAGGGTGAAGGGTGGAGGGTGAAGGGTGGAGGGTGAAGGGTGGAGGGTGAAGGGTGAAGGGTGAAGGGTGAAGGGTGAAGGGTGAAGGGTGAAGGGCGAAGGGTGAAGGGTGAAGGGTGAAGGGTGAAGGGTGAAGGGTGAAGGGTGAAGGGTGAAGGGTGAAGGGTGAAGGGTGAAGGGTGAAGGGTGAAGGGTGAAGGGTGAAGGGCGAAGGGTGAAGGGTGAAGGGTGAAGGGTGAAGGGTGAAGGGTGAAGGGTGAAGGGTGAAGGGTGAAGGGTGAAGGGCGAAGGGCGAAGGGCGAAGGGCGAAAGAGGGGCAGTCGGCTGTCGGTGTTGCCACGGCCATCACACGCGTCAGGTCCCTGCAGGGAACGGGGTGGGGAGATGCCACGACGAACGATGGAAGCAGCAGACACTCAAGGGTGGAGGGCGAAGGTAGAACGCGAGACACCTGGCCAAAGGGATGCGGATGGGGATGGCAGGAGCAGTAGTGGCAAGGGAAGGTAAAGCGAGGGGAGAAGCCCCCCTTGGGAATTACCCCCAGGCCCCGGCTGTCGGTCGTAACAGCATTGGCAAGGGAATGTGACGGGGGCAAGACGCAGTGAGCTGTTGGTGTTGCCACATCCATTACACATGTCAGGCACCTGAGCTGAGGAGGGGATAAGATACAGATTCAGATTTGGAAACCTTAGCTTGGTGAGTTGCGGGGAGACGCCATAGCAGGCAGCAATTTGATCACAGAGCGAATTGGTGGCAGAGCCACTCCCAAGGGCCAGAGAGACGGAGGTTGTGAGCAAGTGGCGCCAGCGAGCACACCGCACCTTAGCTTGGTGTAGTGCGGGGAGACGCCATAGCAGACGATAAATTGATCGCAGAGCCACTCTCAGGGGCCAGAGAGACGGAGGTTGTGAAGGTGTGGTATTGGCCAATGAAGAACTAGAGAGAACCGTACCTGAGCTTGGTGTAGTGCGGGGAGACGCCATAGCAGACAGCGAATTGGTCACAGAGCCACTCCCAGGGGCCGGAGAGGCGGAGGTTGCGCGCGTGAAATCCCTGTGCTGCCATGGCTGCTGCGAGCACCCAGTCGTACGCTGCTGACTCCGATATGGGATGGCACTGGATGGTGGGTGGGGTGAATGGTGGAGGGAGGAGGGGAAGAAAGGGCAGTAGGGTTGGTGGATAGAGAGGGGCAGCAAGATAGGGATCCCTGTGGTGCATTGGTTTTTGAGCCATGGCGGCACAGGGCTCCACTCTCAAAAAACCAATTCAAAAACCTGGCGCCCAGTCAAAAGCCAATGCAGCACAGGGAACCAATTCAAAAACCAATCCAAGAGTGGATCCCTGTGCTGCCATGCCATGGCTGCTGCGAGCGCCCAGTCATATGCTGCTGACTCCGATATGGGATGGCAGTAGATGGTGCGAACGAAGACAAAAGAGGGGAAGAGAGGAGGGCGAGGCAATAGAGGGATGGACAAAGCGGGTGCGAGAGAGGACGTCCCTGTGCTGCCATGCCATGGCTGCTGCGAGCACCCAGTCGTATGCTGCTGACTCGGATATTCGATGGCATTGCTAATGGTAGTCTTTGACCGAAGGCACAAGGGAGACAGCTATCGGCATGCGAGCCGCCTCCTGCCGACACACATACAGTTTGTTACGTCCACCCTCCTGTGGGTGCGCTGCAATGCGTCCACCCCACACTCAGAACCCCAGCAATCCACACCCACACCCACACCCACACCCACACCCACACCCACACCCACACCCACACCCACACCCACACCCACACCCACACCCACACCCACACCCACACCCACACCCACACCCACACCCACACCCACACCCACACCCACACCCACACCCACACCCACACCCTGCCATACCCACACCCACCTGAGTGCCGTAGTCCTTGGCAGAATGCACAAGCGAGACGGCTATCTGCACGCGGGCCACCTCCTGCTGACACGTGTCTCTCACAGCCACCCAATGGCAGCGCTGCGATAACGACACGTGGGTGAAGGGGTGCTGGAGGAGGGGGGGAAAGCGGGGGATAGGAGGGGGAGGCGGGGAGGGTTTCTGGGTTTAGGCTGTACATGCTATACTGACACTGTGTCCCTCACCATTGGCAGCGCTGCGACAGCGATGCGTGGTGAAGGGGTGCTAGAGGAGCAGAGAGTGCCAGGGGGGAGGGACGTTTTAGAATTCTACAAAATCTCTCACAGGGGGAGGGGGGAGGGGGAGGAGGCAGAGGAGGCGGAGGAGGAGGAGGAGGAGGGGCGGAAGCGGTAAAGGAACATTGGCTTCATTGACCAATGGCAGCGGTGCAGCAGCGATGCAAGGATGGATGGAGGGTAGTTGGGATGCAAGGCGGTGCAGCAGCGATGCAAGGATGGATGGAGGGTAGTTGGGGCTACTTTTGTACTCGTCACTCACCCCTTCGTCCATAAGCACAGCAGCCGCCACTGTGGCCTGCCCCCTGCACCCACTGCGGTCGTGCACCTCCACCACCACCTCCTGGCGATCACTCTCCACGGGACTGGAGGGGGGAATGAGGGAGGGGGTGAGGGTGAGAGGGATACAGGGCGCGGTGAATGTACCCGCTGCGGTTGTGCATCTCCACCACCACCTCCTGCCAATCGCTGTCCACTGGACTGGTACACGGAAGGGTGGATGGGTGAGGAGTCTATTTTTGAGGCGCCTCAAAAATAGACTCCTTGTCCTGGGGATCGCTCTCCATGGGACTGGTATACAGAAGGGTGGATGGCGGAAGGGTGGGGCAAAAGGGCACAGGTATAGGGCACATGTGTATTGATGGATGGGTTGAGAAAAGCGTGGGAGCTTGAACTGTAGAACAAAATCGAGGTGAACTAGCATGGGGAAAACACGGCTTGACAATGGATCTCACAGGTTGATGCAGTGGTGCGTGTTGGGGTTGACCCTCTGTGCCTCACTCGCCTCCTCTGACCTGCAGCGCACTGTTACTAGCACGCCCTCTGGTGGTAACACCAGGACAAACACACAGGGGGAAAGAGAGAGGAGAGCATGCAGGGGAGGAAGGAGAGACAACAAGCAAAGCGGGATGGAAGGGAGGCAGTGGTGTGTTTTGGGGTTGATCCTCCCATATCCCCAGAGTATTGGGGTTGATCCTCCAGGCCTCACTCGCCTCCTCTGACTTGCACTGCATTGCCACTAGCACTCCCTCTGGTAGCAACACCAGGAGAAACACAGGCAAGAATTGAGAGAGGAAAGCAAGCAGGGGAGGAGGGACGAGATGCGGCGGTGCGTGTAGGTGTGGGTGCTTCAATCGCCTCCTCTGACTTGCCGCGGACTGCCACTAGCACGCCCACTTTTAGCATCACCGGGACACGCAGTGGTAAGGGAAAACAGACGCAGGGAGGGCGTGTGTTGGAGTTAACCCTCTGTGCCTCACCGGACTCCTCAGGCTTGCAATGCAATGTCACTAGCACTCCCTTTAGTGGCACTAAGGGGACAAACACACGGGGGGGAAGAGAGAGGCAGGCGAGTGAAGGAGGAAGGAAGGGAGGCAGTGCTGTGTGCTGGAGTTGAACCAATAAGAAGACACGATGTCCGCCACAGAAAGCAACAGAGAAATCACCTGACGCAACAGAAAAGTCACCTGAAACAACAGAAGCACTTGCCTGGCGCAGCAGAAGTAGCTTCAGCAGCCAGCCCTCTAAGCAGCCAGTCCCCTCAAACTCGCCATGCCCCCTTTACCTGCCACGTCATGCTGCTCATCTCATCATTAACACGCCCGCTGTTGTTTCCTTGGAGCAAGAGCGGAGATACTTAACGCAACAAAGGAGTTACCTGGAGCAGCTGTGGTGGCTTCAGCCGCCAGGCCCCTTAGATTCGCCATGCCGCCCTTGATCTGCCGCATCATGCTGCTCACCGCCCCCCCCGCTGATGCTGACACTGACCCCCCCGCGCCCCCCTGGAAATCTGCTTCCCTCTGTCCGGCAGCCGCCCTCCCCTCCTCCCCCTTGCCTGCCATGCGCACCTTGCGCACTGGGGGGGGATTCCGGAGGGGGGGGGGAAGGGAGCGTGGAGGGGAGGGAGGTTTGGGGGAGTGGAGAGGGGGAGAGGGGAAAGGGGAAGTGGGTGGGGGCGGGGGTGGAAAGGGAAAGGGGAGGGGGGAAGTGGGGGAGGGGGGGGAGAGGTATACAGTTGGGTGGGAGATGTGGGCCATGTGATACAGATATGGGAGAAATGATATGGGAGAAATGATATGGGAGAAATGAGATGGGAGAAATGAGACGGGAGAAATGATATGGGAGGAATGAGATGGGATAAATGAGATGGGAGAAATGAGATGGGAGAAATGATATGGGAGAAATGATATGGGAGAAATGATATGGGAGAAATGATATGGGAGAAATGATATCGGAGAAATGATAGGGGAGAAATGATATGGGAGAAATGGTATGGGAGAAATGATATGGGAGAAATGATACGGGAGAAATGATATGGGAGAAATGAGATGGGAGAAATGATATGGGAGAAGTGATATGCGAGAAATGATATGGGAGAAGTGATATGGGAGAAATGAGATGGGAGAAATGGTATGGGAGAAGTGATATGTGAGAAATTATATGGGAGAAATGATATGGGAGAAATGATATGGGAGAAATGATATGGGAGAAATGAGATGGGAGAAATGAGATGGGAGAAATTATATGGGAGAAGTGATATGCGAGAAATGATATGGGAGAAATGACATGCGAGAAATTATGTGGGAGAAATGATTTGGGAGAAATGATATGGGAGAAATGATATGGGAGAAATGATATGGGAGAAATGGTATGGAGAAATGATATGGGAGAAATGATATGGGAGAAATGATATGGGAGAAATGAGATGGGAGAAATGATATGGGAGAAGTGATATGCGAGAAATGATATGGGAGAAATGATTTGGGAGAAATGATATGGGAGAAGTGATATGGGAGAAATGAGATGGGAGAAATGATATGGGAGAAGTGATATGCGAGAAATGATATGGGAGAAATTATATGGGAGAAATGAGATGGGAGAAATGAGATGGGAGAAATGATATGGGAGAAGTGATATGGGAGAAATGATATGGGAGAAATGATATGGGAGAAATGATATGCGAGAAATGATGTGGGAGAAATGATATGGGAGAAATGATATGGGAGAAATGATATGGGAGAAATGGTATGGGAGAAATGATATGGGAGAAATTATATGGGAGAAATGATATGGGAGAAATGATATGGGAGAAATTATATGGGAGAAATGATATGGGAGAAATGAGATGGGAGAAATGATATGGGAGAAGTGATATGCGAGAAATGATATGGAGACTACTAAGAGGGATGCAATGCGGAGAGGGTAGAGGGTGTGTGGGTGGGGAAGAGAGGAGAAGGTGCGGCCAAGAATGAACGCATGAGACGCAATTAGTGTAACAGGCGTGACTATGGTAACAGGGTTACCAGAGGACGATGGTTGCTATGCCGATGAGGCAGACAAGCAGCGCTAGCAGGTACCGGATAGTCAAGAAGCGCTTGCAATATACGCGTTGATCGTTTTGTGCACTTCACTCGCGTCTTAAATCTGACTGAGAGTGGGAAATGCGTGAGTCATCAGCATCGGGATTCACCCGTGTTTCGGGACAACTCACGCATCACCTAGAGGCAACGACAGTACACTCAGAGCCAAATCACCTCGCAGCTTGAGATGCCAATGCCTCTGGCCTTCCTTGCTGACGAGATGCTTCGACACAGTGACCGCAAGAAGCTCTTGAGCCCTTGCAGTGGGGAAGAGGAGCAAAAAAAGGAAGAGGCAGCCCCGATGTACCCACCTTGCAGCTTGAGCGTCCCAATGCCTCCCTTCTTCTTGCGGGCCGACGAGTTGCCATACGGTGACAGAGGGGAGCTCTTAAAGCCCTCCAGTGGGGACGCGCACACGCCGCCCTGCTCCCTCTCATCCCCATCCCTCGCACCCCCTCCTCCCCCTCCTCCTGCCGCCGGCCTGTTGCTGCCTTCGTCTGCTGCCGCGCGCACACTCACAGGCACCAGCATCAGCGGCTGCAGGCTGAGTGGGGGAGGGGGGTACAGCGGGAAGGAGATGCGGCTGAGAGGAGGAGCCATGCTGGAGTGCACGCACTCACAGGGACTTGCGTTAGCGGTTGGATTTTGAGGGGGGGAAGGGAGGATAGGGGGGGGAAAGGGTGGGCTTGAGATGGCTCAAGGAGTGTCAGCACCTCGGATTGACCGGCACCCGACACGCACTGGCACCAGTGGCTCAAGTGACTTTTGAGTCGACTCAAAAGGCACCGACACGCACTGGCACCAGTGGCTCAAGTGACTTTTGAGTCGACTCAAAAGGCACCGACACGCACTGGCACCAGTGGCTCAAGTGACTTTTGAGTCGACTCAAAAGGCACCGACACGCACTGGCACCAGTGGCTCAAGTGACTTTTGAGTCGACTCAAAAGGCACCGACACGCACCAGCATCAGTGGCTCAAGGCTGAGGGCGAGAGGGAGAAGGAAAGGGGAGGGAGGAGATGGCAGAGGGGAGCAGTGGAGAGCAAAATTGCTCACAGGTAACACCATCAGTGGCCGGAGCCTGACCCAAGATCATGATATCAGTAATGTGTTATTACAACAATAGAAGAAAAAACCAGAATGTTACTTTAAAACCCGCGGCCCAAATTGCGAGGCACGGCCTTCAAACGCCGTGCGTTTGAAAGTTGCGTTTTCGTGGGTGTATTGGGAGTAACGAGACTCTCGTCACTCAGGGGTGCCTTTCAAGTTCAGTGTGGAAGGTAATTTGGAACACCAGGTGCTGAGCGTTTTTCAACCGTCCAGTTTTTCCAGATTTTCATCTGACCGCGCGTAAGCCAAGCACTTCCCCCAGTCAGTCGAAAGGCAATCTCATCCGTCCAACTGTGTGTTTGTAAATCTGACGGTTCACGACAAGCGTTGAATTTGCGAGAGTAAACGCCCTCGCGATTTTCCAGCGTATTTCGTACAGCCTGAGGGTCAAAGTTCATACGCAATGCGTTTGAACAATTTGGGCCGCGGGTTTTAACAATATGTTGTAACAAGAATCACAGACTGACCCAAAGAAGGTGCGCAGTGAGCCACAGGCAGACTCGCTGAGAAAGAAGTGCGCGTGGGGCGAACCCTTGGGTGCTTCCTCCATGCACATGCGCACACACGCGTCATACGCCACCGTTGCACTCCACCGCTCATCCGCGCTGCATCAAAAGAGCATGGGGCACGCATGAGGCATGCATGGGGCATCCATGGGACATGAATGGGGCACGCATGAGGCATGCATGGGGCAAAGAGAAACAAGCCCTTTGGATGCCTTATCCAGTCCATGCCCATGCGCACGCACGCTTCATACGCCACCACCACACTGCACTGCTCCTCCACGCTGCATGCATTGGGGATGGGGCATGCATGCGGCAAAGAGGACAGAGTGGGATGCCCACTTGGTTGATTCAAGTTGCGCTCCACCGCACCTCAGCACTGCATGCATTGGGGATGGGGCATGCATGACGCAGAGAGGACAGAGCGGGATACCCCCTTGGTTTATTCCCGAGGCATTCAACCGCCCCTCAGCGCTACATGCAGCAGGGATTGGGAATGGGGCATGCATAGGATGGTTACCTGATTTCCATACATTACCGAACCGCATGCATTGGTTACGAGAACCATACCTTGCGAGTTGGATGGGTTCGACAGGTGGAGCAGGCACCGTGAATAAATGGGGCGTGAGGGCCGTGTGGGAAAGAGAGGTGTGTTACCATAGGCAGTGTGGTTACCATAGGCAGTGTGGTTACCGTAGGCAGTGTGGTTACCATAGGCAGTGTGGTTACCATAGGCAGTGTGGTTACCATAGGCAGTGTGGTTACCGTAGGCAGTGTGGTTACCGTAGGCAGTGTGGTTACCATAGGCAGTGTGGTTACCATAGGCAGTGTGGTTACCATAGGCAGTGTGGTTACCGTAGGCAGTGTGGTTACCGTAGGCAGTGTGGTTACCGTAGGCAGTGTGGTTACCGTAGGCAGTGTGGTTACCATAGGCAGTGTGGTTACCATAGGCAGTGTGGTTACCATAGGCAGTGTGGTTACCGTAGGCAGTGTGGTTACCGTAGGCAGTGTGGTTACCGTAGGCAGTGTGGTTACCGTAGGCAGTGTGGTTACCGTAGGCAGTGTGGTTACCGTAGGCAGTGTGGTTACCGTAGGCAGTGTGGTTACCATAGGCAGTGTGGTTACCATAGGCAGTGTGGTTACCATAGGCAGTGTGGTTACCATAGGCAGTGTGGTAACCATAGGCAGTGTGGTTACCATAGGCAGTGTGGTTGCCGGAACCCTACTTATAGAGTTGGATGGGCTCATTTTGAGGCGCCTCAAAAAGAGAGTTGGATGGGATCTGGAGCAGGCAGCTGCAATGCACGGTGAGCCGACGCGCTTTGGAGGGGGTGTGGGAGAGAGAGGAGTGTCGCCACCGGCAGTGTGGTTACACGCCAGCCAGTGTGGTTACCAGCGCCATACCTTGCGAGTAGAATGGGCTCAGGAGCAGGCGGTTGCGAATGCGCAGTGAACCGGTGGGGCGTGGCGGGGGTGTGGGGGGACAGAGGCGTGTCGCCACCACCACGCTCCGTCCTGTTGGGAGGGCGTGGGAGGGTGGGCATGGGAGGGTGGGCATGGGAGGGTGGGCATGGGAGGGTGGGCATGGGAGGGCGGGCATGGGAGGGTGGGCATGGGAGGGAGGGCATGGGAGGGGATGGATAGTGGTTGCATGTCACACGAACGTGCAATTGCATCTGCGCGCCGATGAATCCATGGGGCGTGACGGGGAATCCATGGGGCGTGACGGGGAATCCATGGGGCGTGACGGGGAATCCATGGGGCGTGACGGGGGTGTGGAGAGAGCGAGGCGTGTCGCCACCAGCACGCTCCGTCCTGTTGGTCGTGGGGAGTACGTGGGCACACACGAGTGGGCATGTGAGGGGGTACGTGGACACACACGAGTGGGCATGTGAGGGAGTATGGCATCGGCTGTATGTCACACACATGGGCGATCGCCCATTGGCGATTACACAAGGGCGACTGCACATGGGCAGGGGGAGTTGATTTGACATGCAGGGGGAGAAGCGGGACGTGTCACCATCTGCACGCTCCGCCCTCTTGGGAGAGCGTCGGAGGGAGGGAGTATACCGTGCCTATGTACGCGTTATACCGCATGCCTATGTACGCGTTATACCGCATGCCTATGTACGCGTTATACCGCATGCCTATGTACGCGTCATACCGTATGCCTATGCTCCTCTATGATATTCCGATCGCAACTGCCACCTGTCTCACAACCACCTACACTCTCCCCCCAATTCTGCACCAATCTCCGCGATCAATTCGTGAACATGCGACCTGTGCGATTCACCTCTGCGACGCCTGCGACGGTGACTCCATCGTCGCGCCCGACTCCTCCCTCACTGTGCTCAGTCGCAGCGCGCTCTCCCGCCCCAGCCCCACCGCCGACCGCCCTCCGCTCCAACCCGCGCTGCTACCGCCCAGCGACTCCGCGCCCTCCCGTTCCCCCCTTGCGCTTGCGCTTCCGCTTCCGCCCGCCTCTGGCCGCTGCGGCTGCGGCGCCGCGCGGGTGGGCGCGCCGGGAGCCGCGCGCGCGGGCGGGCCGCTGCTCATGGCGGAAACGGGCGGCGCGCTGGGGGTCGTGCCGGCGCAGCCGCGACCCGAATTGTCGCCGCCCTGACTCTGACTGTTGCTGTAGCTTTGGCTGTAGCTCCGACTATCCCTTTGACTGTAGCGTTGACTGTAGCGCTGACTGTCTCTCGGGCTGTAGCTGTCGCGATTCGGTCCGCGATGCAGCGGTCCAGGTCCCCCTACCGCCCTCAGTACCGCCTCTTCCTCCTCCTCTTCCTCCTCCTTCCCCCCCCGTCCCCACGCCCTCTCCTTTTCCCACTCCCTCGCCTTTTCCCTCTCCTCCTGCTCCCAGTCGTCGATTCCGCCGAGATTCGCGCGATCACCGTCAGCGTCGCCGGCGTCGCCTTTGACCATAGACGACAGCACGTTCGGCGCGAACTCTAACGAGTGGTCCAGGAACGGCTCGGCTGCCAGGTCATCCTCTTCCTCCGCCTCCTCCTCTTCCTCCCCCTCCTCTACGTCGTTAACCTCCACGTCGCGACCGTTACCGACGTTTGCAACGTTCGCACCGTTCGCGAAGTTAGGGTTCCTGTCGCTCAGCACGCCGTTGCTCCATGCGCCGCTGTCGTAAAACCCGCTCTCCCGCTTCACTTCCGGCTTCGACCGGCTCTGCAGATCGGGAATTGCGGTTTGCCCTTGCCCGTCGTACGGAGTCTCCTCGCCCGTACGGCTGCGTTTTATCTCCTGCCGGTTCATCTCCCACGTGGAGCTCCCCATGTTGGATGAAACGCGGCTCTTCTTCACCGCGACCGGACCGCACTCCTCGTTACCGTTCTCATCCACCCATGCCGCTGCCTCCTGCCCGTAATCGCGACTCTCCATTCCCATGTTAGGCATGTCCATCGATTCATACGGCGCTCGTCCGGTTGGCATATTAGCCACGTGCTGCTGGTACTGGTGCTGCTGATCCATCCCTCGCATTCCGCGCGTCCCTTTGCTCCAGCCGCCTCCTTTCATGGCGTCCCGGCTAATCACACGTGGCCTAACTAGGAATTCCCTGACCACCTATCAAGCTAAGTTAGTCGTCATCAACAGCTGGACTGGAGAGACGTTTTTCACGAATTGCGAGCTGCTGACACATTTGGGGTTCGAAGCCATGCACAGCGCGGCGTGATTTGGGCGGGAGAGGGGATTTGAATCTGCAGAGAGAGGTGGGCTGTAGCTGAGAGAGCAGACTCACTTGGCAGTTGCTGAGGTTCAGCTATCCCGATGACAGGTTCACTACGACCCTTTCAGTGACAGCATGGCAGTTGCTGAAGCTCAGCTCCACCAGCACTTACAAACGGAACAGATACTTGGAAAACGCAGCCTAAATGTTCTCTGACACAGCGCACCGAATCGCCGCTGCAATCGTTATAAATTGAGGGCGTGTCCAGCGCGTTTTCAGTTTGCCCCAACACGAATTTTTGACGTTTTCTTAACACGCCGAAATATTGAAACGCCACCTACAGTATCTACAGCAAAACGCGCGGACACATGTCCCGCCCGTGTCTTGAGAAATGAGCGGGTGCGCAGCGCGCACATAACAGACTGACACGTGAAAACAGCAGGGTAACCGAATTTCGCCCCAGAAAGAGGCCTCGCCCGGTGCTTCGCATGCATCACGAAAGCCTTGCGAATGTAAGCGTTCTATTTTTCGCCAGCCAGGATCTGGACGTTTCTGCCGTGTGTATAATTTGGGCACGATCTCCATTCGGTTCGGAAACGCGCGGCCCACGCCTGTGCGTGCCCAACCGCGCGGCGCCAAAACCGTCAATTTCTCGTGCGTGTCCGAATGGACACGGAATTTCGAGTTACCAGGTCAAACTTTCGTACCTGATATGCAAAGAGAATAGTGTCAGAACGCGCTGGACATGCCCTAAGAGACATCTAGACAAAACTCGATTGTACGTGATCGTGAGCTACTCATTGAACTTGTGAGACATCATTAGAGAATGACATAACAAAGACGTTACCAATACAGGTGTAAAAAATATTAAAAGAATTCAAATAAAATAGCGAAATTAGCTGTAAAAAAGAGTAGGGGGGTAAGATTAATATTTTGAATAAATATACTTCAGAGCTAAATGATGCGTGCATACACTATTATAGTATTGTTTTTGATATACACTACAGGTGTTATGAATGGGACTGCGGAGTACCGCGGAGGGCAATGGCGAAACTGTGAACGAGTGAATGACAATAAAATGAAAGAACACACAATATATAGAAAGCCTAGGGTGATCCTGGACGTAGGATCAGAAGGTTCGGAAAAAGTATCGAAGGGCCTCGATGTGTCGTAGCGAGGACCAGAAAGGCCCAGGAGGCTCGAATTGAAAGGTCTGGAACCTTATCGCTGGTTCGGGACTGTTCGAGTCGTACGCCCTGTAGCAAGCCTCATTAAGGAATTACGCATTCCTTACACTCTCCCCCCTTCTAGATAAAACTACACACACTCTAATTGAATCTCGTAGTAGTAGCACACAAATAAATAAAACTACACACACTCTAATTGAATTTCGTAGTAGTGAAGCCACCACTGTTGAGAATCTCGAGCTTCTTCAAGGAAACTCCATCCAACCGTCGAAACACGTCGAAACGATCGCGGTCGATCATAGCCGTCGAATCTTGGTCGAATTACCCAGTTAACCAAACGGGCCCTAGGGAAACTACCGCACCACAGCTTCCTTGTCTCCAGCGAATCCTTCGCCGATGTTGGGCTGAGAAAAGCCCTTAGGATCTTTCCAGAAACTAAGTCCCAGTTGTAAAAGACTTGAGTAGTGCAGCGGAAGTTGAGGCAGTTGAACCCTTGTACTAGTATATGAGAACAAGTGATTGATTAAAGAAACAAGCATACAGCAATATATAGAAATAGGAAAGTAAAGCAGTTGTAGAATACAGTTGCAGGAGCGGTTATCGAGTCGCACAGCGACTCGATTGTCGCTTCGGTTACCATCCGCGCTGTTGTAACGGTCAGTCGCAACCTCCAGTTGCGACCCTTCGAGTTCCTTCGCGTTCTTTGTCCATCCCCTCGTGTAACTTCCGTTGACTCGCGTACCCGTTGCGATCTTCCTCGAGTGTAGTGTTACACTTCAGAAACGCTTAAGTCCTTTGAGATATTTCCAACACTCCCCTTCGTTTCTGGAATGCTGACGTGTTCGGATCCGGTGACGTTTGTCTGTCCGGTCAGCAGCATGCAGTAATCGAACTTCGCCTTCGCCGATTTCTTCGTCACATAGTCTGCGGCCATTTCTGTCATAGGGCAGTAACTGAGTTGAAGTCTCCCCTTCGCGATTTCATCCTTGACGAAGAAGTATCGCAGGGCGATGTGTTTGGTTCGGTTGGCGAAGCCGTCCTTGTCTGCGATTTTGATCGCAGATTGGTTGTCGCAGAGGAGTGAGAAGGCGGGAAGTGTCGCAATTTTCGCTATCTCTAGCAATTCTCGTAGGTAGAGTCCTTCCTTGGTCGCAGTACAGAGGGCGATATATTCTGCTTCAGCCGAAGATAGTGCGATTAGTTCCTGCTTGCTTGACTGCCAGGAGATAGTCCCGATAGGTTCTAGTCGGTAGATGTAGCCCGTTCTCGATCGTCGATTTTCCTTGTCTCCCGCGTGGTCGGCGTCGACGTATCCGAGTAGTCGTACGGACGGTGTGGTTACCTTGCTGTAGGTAAGTCCGGTCGTTGGCGTGGAGACGAAGTAGAGTAGTGCCCGGTTGAGCTCCTCGAGATCTTCTTGTTCCGGCTGCTTCAGATGCGTCGCCAGTTGGCTCGCGCTGTAGGAGAGATCGGGTCGGCAGGTTACTGCTGCGAATAGTAGGCAGCCGAGTTTCTGTTGATACTCCTGGATTTGCTTCGCGGGGAGTTTTGCGGAGGTGCTGTTGTTGTTCCCGTAGCGGTAGGGAGTTGGGATCGTAGTCGGTGTTAGACCGAATTTCTTCGCGACGGTGCCTGCGTACTTTCCAGCGTGTAGGTAGAACGCCGAGTTGTCTTCGACGACATTCAGTCCCAGGTACTGGGTCACTGCGTCGGATACCGTGATCGTCAGGTCTTCTTTCAGCTCCCCTTCGAACCAGGTGGCGATGTCGGTAGTGGAGCCGATGTAGAGCAGGTCGTCGACGTAAACGATGAGTAGGATATACTCTTTTCCCTTTTGCAGTCGGTACATGCCTTGGTCATGCGGCAGCTGTAGGAATCCGATTTTTGCGAGGTGACCGTGAAGATGCTGCTGCCAGAGCCGCGGAGCTTGCTTGATCCCGTATAGGGATTTTATCAGCTGGCATACTTTCGTGGGGTTGTTCGACGAAGATCTCAGCGTCCACAGGTGCGTACAGGAAAGCATTTGCGACGTCGATTTGGCGCAGTGGTAGTTTCTTCGTGGCCGCGACGGCGAGTAGGATGCGCAATGAGGTGTGACGAGAGACTGGGGCGAATGTTTCTGTGTAGTCGGTTCCGTATCGTTGATCGAACCCTCGTACGACCCATCGAGCTTTGAATCGTTCGGTGGAACCGTCGGCATTGGTCTTGATGCGGTACACCCATTTTCCCGAGAGGACATTCTTCCCGTTGATGCTTGTTGCAGGTACCAGCTTCCATGTATTTCGGTCTTGCAGAGCCTTTAACTCCTTTTCCATCGCCTCCTTCCATTTCGCCTTATGTTCCCCCCCCAGAGCCTGCGACAGAGTCGGGGGCTCGCGCGGAGATGGCGGCGGCGGATGCTGGACGGAGACCCAGAGGCCGAGTATCTGCAATCCCGTGGGTGTGTGTCGAGGGGAATTTTCATTCCCGGAATAGGCTGCTTCGTCACCGTCTTCTGGATCAGGTAAGAAGTTGGGGCCGATGCGTTCTGAAACATTTGTGTCGACCGGGTGGGGTGTAATGTAACCTTAGTCAGCGAAGTGGTAAAAGGTGTCGAGGTTGTTACTATCGAGGGGATTGTCTTCGTCGAGTGGAACAGGTACGGAACAGAAAGGGAGTGGTCCGGCAGCTTCCGAGGCTCCAGGTACATCTTCTTCTGCTGCGTCAGCTTCGGCAGCACGGTCGGCGAAGGAACGAAGACCCGCGAAGCCGTCGGTGGGGTCTTGTGTGTTGGCAATGTTGTCCAGGTAATGCTGCAGCGTCAGTCGCTCGTAGAAGATAACGTCACGTGATGCCGCTGTATTTTGTCTTGTATGTCGAGGATTTCCATGCGTGAAAATGTTTTGCGATGCCGAGGTGTAGTCCCCACCGAGCTCGTTGAGTGAAGCGTCCTGCTCGGGCTGTGTGAGGTCTGTACTGTACCATGCAACCGAAAACTCGAAGTAATTTTGTGCTGCCCTTTTTCGTGTCCACAGCAGGTGCGGCGATGCATTGTTGGGAAGTGATGACGAGGACAACAGGTTGTGCAGGTGGACTGCATGTGTTATCGCGTCTGGCCACAGTGTGGTGGGCAGTCTCATCCCCAGGAGCAGCTTCCGCATCGTCGTCTGCAAGGTCCGGTTCATGCGTTCTGCGACCCCTTGTTGTTGGTGAGCGTAGAGCAGGGACACCAGGCGTCTGATTCCTCTTTCCGCCAGATAGGTCCTGAAGCGTTGTGACTGGTATTCCAATGCACCGTCTGACGGGAAGCTCTTGAGCTTGATTCCTGATTCCCGTTCGGCGATGGGTAGCCATGTCGTGAAGGCGTCGAAGGCTTGATCGCGCGTCTTAAGGTTGTAGTGCCAGACGTATCTTGTTGCTGCGTCGATGAACGTGATGACATAGTTGAAGTCTGCTTCAGCGTTTTTCCGAGGCATGTTTAAAATGTCGCTGTAGACTTTTTCCATCGGTGCGTATGCAGGTGCGCTTGGGTTGTGATGAGATGCGAAAGGCTGGTGGGGAAGATCGGCTTCGGGCACGTAAAGCATCGTGCGCATGGTCGTCGAAGTTCTTGACCGCTCGTTGTTAGGAGAGCGTTGCGTTCTAACACTTCGGCTTGGATGGTTTGTAGTATTGTGCTATTTGCAGGGTGCCCGAGTCGTTGGTGCCAGATGTCGTCGGAGCGCGATGGCCGGCGAGCGGTGGTATATGTCGGTGTTGGAGAAGAACGCGGCGACTATGGCGGGACTTCGACAGACTTCTCGTGTGATGGGCATAAGTTGATCTGCTTCGGTTGGCGGTCCTCGGATCGCTGGTGGTGGTACTTGGCTTGGTCCTGCTGCTGCTACTGCAGGTGATGGTT